TTTATGAACTAATTGTTATCTACGTATTATTCTAGTCAATGATCAAAATTTTATATTTCTCACAGTTACTAAGCATCATTCACTCTCTCCCTCAACACTTGTAGGACTTCATGGAAGATTATGAGGTAATTGTGCCTTTTCAGTCTCTTCAAGCTCTAGGATGCCATGTTGATGCAGTTTGCCCCAAGAAGAAAGCTGGTGAAATCTGTGCTTGCAGGTGACCGAACATACAGTGAGAAGCCAGGCCATAATTTCACTTTAACAGCTGACTTTGAAGCTCTATATGTCTCAAGTTATGATGCTCTTGTAATCCCTGGAGGAGGTCGAGCCCCAGAATATTTGGCATTGGATGAGAAAGTTATTGCATTAGTGAAGCAAATTGTGGAAGCCAGGAAACCAATTGCATCCATCTGCCACGGGCAGCAGATTTTAGCTGCTGCTGGTGTTCTACAGGTAAGGTTACTCCCTTTAAGCCAGGCTACGCCTTTGTTTCCAGAAATTTGATCCGAATTTCAATTTGGTCCATATTCTTTAAGTTTCTCAATCAAATCTGACTATTTCCTTTTCGTTTCCATTCTGTTCATCGTAATACGTAGTATTGATATTGTTACAAATGTTACTGACTTTCTATAATTCCATGTGATGCCACCAAAGGAATTGCTCCAATAATTGGGTTCAACTGAAACAAAGTGAAGCTGTAATCCCTGTTTAGGTGGCAGTGTAGTTTTATTGTATATATAGCTCACCTTTTAATAGGGATGGGTCCCATGTTGTTGGGATCAGTCCCATGCTGTCCAGAAGTTCAATCTAAAGTCCAAGTTGATTTCTGAAACTAAATGAGTTGAAAGTGTACAAAATGCAGAATCAATAATATAAAGTTAATTTGTTAGGCACACAAACAAGGACGCAAAATCCTCATTAACAATCCAAAATCATAAAACAAAATTGAGATTATAAATTTTGGGAATTTTAAAGTCCAAGCATGATATGGTAGATATGGGAGATGCTACAATGAGGGGGATCTGAGTGGGGGGTTTGAGTGAGGGGTTCAATCCAACCATCCAACCATCCAATCATTAAAAAAGTTTTAAGTTCAAAATTTCCTTTATATTATTGGATGGCGGTATTGAACCCCTCACCCACAACCCCTCATTATAGCATTTCCGTGGCAGATATACATTTATAATGTAGATTACATAACTTTTACGCTTTTTAACATCAACTAAAATGCTAGAGTAGAATTAATTTTTGTGTGGGAAGTTTAACCAAAAAGAAAATATACAGTTAATCTGTGGATTTATTTGTTCTTTTACTCACTATCAATGTAGTTGATCGTAAATTCAAATGTTTGTTCTGTTGTGGGTGTTGATGAGCAAGCTTGCCAGTTGGTGCATGAACATTTGTGCTGTAATATAAAAGTCAGAAGGTGCGTACTGTAATGCAGAATTCTCTGAAGGAATATATGCAGTAAAAATCTATGCTAGATGGAACGGTTTAAGAATGGGGTAAAACAAGAAATTACCTAGTAAGGAATGATCCGAATTTCAATCTGGTCCATATTCTTTAAGTTTCTCAATCAAATCCGACTATTTCCATATCGTTTCAATTCGGTGCGTCGTCAAACATAGTATTGATATTGTTAAAAATATTACTGACTTTCTTTAATGCCATGTGATGCCACCAAAGGAATTGCTCCAATAATTGGGTTCAACTGAAACAAAGTGAAGCTTGTAATCCCTGTTTAGGTGACAGTGTAGTTTTATTGTATCTATAGCTCATCTTTTAATAGGGATGGGTCCCATGTTGTTGGGATCAGTCCCATGCTGTCCAGAAGTTCAATAAGTTGATTTCTGAAACTAAATGAGTTGAAAGTGTACAAAATGCAGAATCAATAATATAAAGTTAATTTGTTAGGCACACAAACAAGGACGCAAAATCCTCATTAACAATCCAAAATCATAAAACAAAATTGAGATTATAAATTTTGGGAATTTTAAAGTCCAAGCATGATATGGTAGATATGGGAGATGCTACAATGAGGGGGATCTGAGTGGGGGGTTTGAGTGAGGGGTTCAATCCAACCATCCAATCATTAAAAAAGTTTTAAGTTCAAAATTTCCTTTATATTATTGGATGGCGGTATTGAACCCCTCACCCACAACCCCTCATTATAGCATTTCCGTGGTAGATATACATATATAATGTAGATTCCATAAAATTTTAACTTCTTACGCTTTTTAACATCAACTAAAATGC